TTAATCTACTTGGTTTGTACATACTATTTATAAAGTCATTTTTATGCTCCCGGATCGATAGATCCAGGGCGCATATTGTTTTTGTCCTGTCTGTTTGTCTGCTTGTTTGTTTTTCTGTTTATCTGTTTGTCTGTTTGTCAGTCTGTCTGTTGTCAACTATAATCTTCGCCATAACTTTTGAACCATAAGAGATAGAGACTTTATTTTTTGTATGCATACTCTACTTATAAAGTTCTTTCAAATAACATCAAGGTCAATGACCTTGTGACCTCGTCTGTTACCCATACGCAAAAAAATAGCTTTTTCGTACGTTGTTGTCGATGGTGCATAGTGCTTCACAAACACATCTTGTTCAGAAGATGAAATGGGGAACAACACAACGTTGTCTTTATGATGAACTGACGTCTTAATCAATTGTGCCTATAGCAATCTCTTGAATCTTCGAAATTGTGAACCAAAATTGATGACAAAATCAAACCCACAACCTATCTTAAGGTCATAATTACCATAGAAGCTGTGTAGACAAAAGGTTGTGATACATTTTGTTCTTGTCTAGCATAATCTTACCTGTGATATATGTGCATAGACAACAACAACAGAAATCAAAATTAAAATCAATGCTTTAATAATATGTTAAAAAATTCATTTTGTGGACCTTTTTTTTTTACTTTCAGTGCAAATTAAATATACATAAAGTCAAACTCTGGTTTTTCTTCATTTCCACCTGGACTTTGCGCATCTAGTTTATCTCTGTCAACCAGTTCTCTGAGAGCCGCACCTTATAAATCGCAAAATATCAATACTTAAGTATGCTTTGAAAAAAAGGTTTTAAGAACCTTAAAGCACTAAAACGTCTGAAAAAAAAATTACTACGGCAAGTGAACATGCAACATTACATTTTTTTTGATAAAGCAACAACATTTAAAAAAAGAAACACGATCGGTGTATTTCTGCAGATGTGATTGATTGATTGTATATTGTTTAACGTCCCACTCCAGATTTTTTTCATATGGATATGTTACCGTGTGCCGGCGAAGAGCTTCAAATTTAGACCTCTACTCGGCACTCAGGACCATTCAGCAGTGAGGGTTATTTATCGTCCCAATGCCATTCGTGACATGGGGCCTACGTTTTAAAGGTCATATCCGAAAGACCCGTGACTTTCATTTTTAGTGCCGCTTGGCGAAAGAACAGTTACTATCTATGTTTACGAATCAGGTGTAACGTTGAAAATTGGCCCCAGTTGAAAATTGACCCGGGGTTCACTTTTCAACGTTGAATATTGAACCAGGGGTGTTTTTTCTCTGTTGAAAATTGAGACCAAAAGTCGTTGAATTTATACCCGGGGTCATTTTTCAACAGCTTGATATTAGTTTTTTTCTTTTCCCTGATGACCTCAACAAGTTGAAAATAGACCCTGTTGAATATTGATCCCACCTTAGAGTTTTAACATTTTTTAAACTGGGAAGTTGTCATCCCGTGTATATATGTACTTTTGATCAGTTCACGATTTCAGTTATCTTCAAGCATGACAACTTTATCTTTTGACAATACTTTCTAAAATCCGAAACTATGAAATCCTGGAAATCTAGCTGGTTTCTAGAAAGTGAGCCCTGTATAATTCAGTAAAAAATTTACAAAATTAAAAGCCTGAAAATTAGAATTAAACACATCGGTCAAAATGATTCCAATGAAAGGATATATTTGTTAAAAGATCAATATAGTGACTATAACATATAAATAATGCTGACTTTAACCAATGTTGGTGAAATCCCTGTAACAAACTTATCTGTCAGTAGCCTGCCTCGGACTAAAAATCGATCGTTTGCGGAGTATTTATAACCTTTGAGAATGAGAACTAGAGTAAGAATCTGGGATGGACTTTTTGATCTAAACAACTAAAAATCGCATTCCTCTTCAAAGAAACAGAGAGAGAGAGAGGATCATAAAGTTTTTTTTCGGAGGCGGGGTATGGTATCAAAACCCTCTGAAATATTGTGACAAAAAACCATAAACAAAATAAATAAACGAAACCAATAAACAAACAAGCAAACAAAATGTAGAAAGGGAAACTAGCCATTGTTGAAAACCAAACCATGTTTCTCTAATTGGATGGAAGGGCCGCTTCAAAAATTCCTCACAAATCATCCTGTGTTTCCCCGATTTGGGGAGGGGGGGTCAATGTTATATTTGGCTACTTTATTACAAAAACTAAAAAAGAAAACGTTGAAAATCAGGGTTGTGTATGTAAGGCAAACATTGTTTTATTTAAAAAAAAAACAAAAATGAAGAAAATAGTCCAGTCACAAATACAAAAAAAACAAACAAAAAAACACACACACATTCTTCGAATATGTATGGTACTTATCCCAAAAAAGGGAGATCACCCACTTTTACATCATCTACTTGACAAAATAAATATGTATAATAATAAATATGTATTAATTGTGAGGTTCGTTCTTGAAATGTTTGATTAACTATACGAAAAAAATCATCAAACCTTTTATTTTGAAAAAATACGTTTTTCAATTAAGTTGGACACTACAAGTTATTAATGTTGTGCATAAGTAAACAAGAGGCCCATGGGCCTTATAGGTCACCTGAGTAGTGTGTAACAACTTTCAAACAATTAACTTTGGTTCGTGTTTTAAACCAGAGGCCATGAAATTCACAATTTTTTGAAAGATGCACCATTGCTTATCATAATTATAAACCTAGCATGCTTTTATTTACTTAATACCCAGAGGTATATCAGAGAAACAAAGAGAAAATGCACTTCCACTTTATATCCAGTTTTTCACCTCACTCCAAAGGAACCACTGGTTCAGGGGCCACATACCTGGTATTTCAAAATTTTGCAAATTTTATCATAAAATGGTTGATTAATACCAAAGAGCAGATTTCAAAGCATTTATTTATTTTCAGAATATGACACCCCCATCCACCCCGATGATTTCCTGGAGAGGGGGGCATAAAAAATAAACGTTTTGCTAGATGCACCTTTCTTCATCATAAATATATATTCTTGGATCATTAGCATAAAACCCAGGAGCAAAGGAAAAGATTTTCAAAGAATGAATCTATTTTCACTATATAATCAATAGAACCCCACCCTAAGACGAGAGCCCCTCTGGGGCCATAAATTCACAGTTTTGGAAGAGGCACTCTTGCTCATCATAACTATGTACTTTGTTCGTTCATTTAATACCCAGAAGCAGAGAAGATTGTCAAAAGAATTAATGCATTTTCACTATATTTCTCCAATAGAGCACCGCCCTAATACCACAACCCCTGACCCTGGGGACAAAAAATTCTCAATCTTGGTAAAGGCACTCTTGCTCATCATAAATATGTAGTAGTTAGTCTATTTAATACCCAGAAGCAGAGAAGAAGATTTCCAAAGAATTAATGCGTTTTCACTATATAATCAATAAAGCCCCGCCCTAATACCACAACCCCTGGCCCTGGGGCCATAAAATTCACAATTTCGGAAGAGGCACTTTTGCTTATCATAAATATGTATTTAGTTGTTTTTTTAAAACCCAGGAGCAGAAAAGAAGATGTTCAAAGAAATAATGCATTTTCACTATATAATCTATATAGCCCCACCCTAGCACTAGAACCCCTGACCCTGGGGCCATAAATTTCACAATTTTGGTAAAGGACTCAGTGCTCATTACAATCATGCCAACAGTTAAACTGCCTGATGTCCAGGAGTAAAGAAGAAGATTCTTAAAGATTACACCAATTTTCGTGGTTTTGGCCCCACTCCTCAGGCACCAGGGTCAGGGACCATGAAATTCTAAATTTTTGTTCCCCTTCACCCATAGATGCTTTATGCCAAAATTGGTTGAAGTTGGTTGAGCGGTTGAAGAGAAGAAGCTGAAAATGTTCAAATGTTAACACACAACGCACGAAGCGCACCGCACACCGCACGACGCACGACGACAGACGAAAACGGATAGCAATAGGTCACCTGAGTTTACTCGGGTGACCTAATAAGCATTAAAACGTACGTGCATCATGCGTTAAACTCTCACCATTTTCCAAATACTAATATTAGGAATTTTAAAATTAAATAAATGAAGTGTTGTTAGCAAAAAAAAAAAATATATAAATAAACAAATTTATGAACTAAATGGTATTTTCTGTAACTATGTTTACTAATATTCAGGATTTACATATACAAATGTATTTCTTTTTAAATAAATATTACATGTACACGAAATATTCCGATTTTATGCTACATGTAACTTTGAAATCTAAGATATTTTTAAAGATTTTATTCTAAGAATATAACTGAATTACTGAATTAAGTGTGCATTAATTACATTGGCAAATTGAAAGTTCGCGGGGGGGGGGGGGGTATCTAATTTAAAAAGAAAAAAGTCAAATCTGAAAAAAATGACAAGAAATAAAACACTGTCCATTGTCCAAACTAGTTGTCCAAAAATCCTATTGGGGGGTTGGTTTAGGATCCAATTTCTTTTTTCAAAACTACCACTCACTCTTCTTTCTTTGACTACACCGTAACGTGCCTGTTGAAAGCGCGTTGAAAAGGGGGGGGGGCTAAACCAATTTCACATTGTTCAAAGCCTATATTTATTTCTATCTTTGGAAAAAAAAGAGGTAAGCATCCTTACTCCCCTCTCCCCCCGTTCCCGACGCCTATGGATTAAATCACAGTTGTGAAAACCAAGTCATAAATACATGTATGTGTTTTATGCTGTTGAATTTTGAACCGGTTTCATGATCAAAATTCCACGACCCGGTTCAGTTTTCAACGGATAAGGGTCTAAATTCAACACCTTTAGTCTCAATTTTCAACGTTGAAAAATGACCCCCGGGTCAATTTTCAACCCGGGTCAAAATTCAACGTTACACCAGGCCTTTCCGATCACGAAGCAAACACTCTACCACTACTGCAGATTTTTTGGGATAGAATCAAAAAAATTGCTTTTGTATAACATCGTTTATATATAGCTCGAAATTGTGAGGAATCATTTTAATCCGTCACTGGTTTTATTACCTGTCAAGATGTCCCGCCTGTTTATATATCTGTATACATGTACTCGGCTTAGACGCGATGAACCAATCCAGAGAAGATGGTTCTTTTCATCATAGCTCAGACTGTATGGATTTTCTATTCCCTCTTGTTCTGTCAGTAACAGAGACAAAAAGTGGCCATCTTTGTCAATCATCTGCACCGTGTGGGTGTTATCATCACACACCAATATGTGTGACAGAGCGTCTGTACAGATTCCACGTGGATCCAATATTGTTCCTGATCGATGCGTAGTGTAAAAGAAGTGATGAGATTTACTTCGTGGAGGTCCTGTGTAGGAGAAGCGAAGTCTTCCTTCTTTATCTGTTACAACTACAGCATATCGCAATACGTCAGACACAATGACATCTCTATTGTTATTCTCTGTGATGAATGCAGGAAATTTGTAGAGTTGCTGATCGGATTCATCATATTGTATTGTCTGTATGAGTTGTCCTGACTTTTTGTACCGTGTTACCATGCCCCTTCCCATATAATCATCGTACGCCCCGACCATAATATCTCCATTAATTAAGGAACAGTAGACACAGCTTGGATCCATTGGTCCTAGGTTCTCGATCAGTTTAAAATGCGTTCTGTTATCAATGGATAGTTTTTGAACCCCCTTTCTGAGATGTAGATAAATGAGTTCACCATCGTTGTTTAAAGAGTGCACTCCATAATTATACATAAAACTACATGATTCACCCCATTGGTAATTAACTGTGTTTCTAAGAATATTGATAACGTTACCTTCTGTGCTTATCAGAAAAAGCATTCTTCCATTGCTAATCCAGACCCTGTCTGAAGACACACGGGACAGGTGTAGTACTCCCTCAACACCTCTAACTTTGATAGATTTGTGTAACACAGGTGTAGGCATGACGTTCAGCAGACATTTATTTTGTGCTTGTCTTTTTCCTATCTCTGTGATTTGGATTTCACTTATAAATTTAATCAAATCAACTGTCTTGATTTTCTCTGATTGGGTAGAACAGGACATTTTGTGAATGTTCTTTGACTTGGGAACACCAGCTTGTCTCAAAAATAGAAGAAATCTTACAGGCTGTTTCAGTAATTTTTCAGATTGAAGTTCATATTTCTCTATATTGGCAATACCTTCGAGTAGTTTTCTGAGTTGTTGATTTGAATTCTGAAACAATAAGGTTTTGCTTCTTAAATAAACATCACGTATCACAGCGTCAAACAGGTTTTTCAGTTTGTTGGCTTTTCTTTTCATAGCGGAGTGACTGATCGATTTATGTTTGCGAAAAGTCTTTATATTTGCTCTGATATCCAATAGAAGTATACAACTGTTATAAAGTATCTCACTCTTGATCTTCTGCATGATTTCTCTTTGTTGTTGTCGTTGGTTTTCACACACGTTTTTAATGTCCTTAACATCGTGATTACTGTGCCCTGTACATTGGAAACAGACAGGGATTTCACATGAGAGGCAGTATTTGTCATAGTTTTCCCCAATGTGTTTCACGCATATCTCTTGTTTAGGACTGCATTCATATCTCTCAGGGTTAAT